GGGGAAGCCGATGTGATACTTGGGATAAAAATCACAAAAACCGAGAAGGGTTATCTCTTATCCCAAGGTCATTATACGGAGAAACTTTTGAAGAAGTTTTCCAGTTATGAGGTCACTCCGGCCAAGACCCCTTTTGATCCTAGTGTAAAACTGTCAAAAAACGTAGAGGCTAGTGTGTCACAAGAAGAATATGAAAAAATAATCGGGAGTCTAATGTTTCTAATGAATTATACTAGACCCGACATTGCATATGCTGTGAACAAACTCAGTCGCTACACGCACAACCCGAGTGCTCCACATTGGGATGCACTAAAACGGGTACTGCGGTACCTTAGAGGCACAGTGGACTGGGGCCTCAACTACAAGGGGTCGCCAGCCGTGCTAGAAGGGTATTGTGATGCGAATTGGGTAAACGGAAGTGATGATGCAAGCTCAACTAGTGGATATGTATTCACTATGTGTGGAGCCGCTGTATCCTGGAAATCAACAAAACAATCGTGCATTGCTAGATCAACTATGGAAGCTGAATTCATAGCTCTAGATCTAGCAAGCCAGGAAGCAGAGTGGCTAAGAAACCTACTGGCAGACGTGCCATTGTGGGGGTGTCCAGCACTTGCTGTTCCTATACATTGTGATTCACAAACTGCCATCTGTGTTGCACAGAATAGTGTCTATAATGGCAAAAGAAGACACATAAGAGTCAGACATGAGTCTGTAAGGCAACTAATTCTAAATGGGGTAATCACAATGGAATTTGTGAGGTCTGAAAAGAACATTGCAGACCCTTTTACAAAAGGTCTGAATCGGAAGACCGTCTTGAAACTTCAAGGGAAATGGGTTTAAAACCCAATGAGGTAAGAAATTCGTGATCAACCACCTGTGAGGGAAAATCACGGAAAGACTTACACCAAATGGCTGTTGAGAACAGTACTGAATCTGTAGCCTAAAATGGGTGGTCTATGCTGAGATAGACTTGACAGATTATAAGTCTATATAGAGATAGACAGAACAGGGACTTATTACAGAGCTAATGAGTGCAGTTAAGTTCAAAACTCGATTAACCGATGAGTTCAAGATTCCGTTCACTCTCGGGAAAAAGTTACTTAATTCCACTACATGTCAGTTCAAGTAATACACACTGATATGGAAATTAGCTCCTGTAATTCTCAGGCTTGGTCGGGTATAGTCTTGCCACCTTAAATGTGTGGGGGATTGTTGGGAGCATTTAAGAGGCATATTTAGTTTTGCCCTTTGTCCCACATTGAAAGACTAGCTTACCTTTTCTCACTATTTAAACACCAACTCCTTTCCTAAGGTTTGAAGTGTTATGGAGAGGGAACAAGGGGAGATCTCACGCGCCGCCGCCGCCGCCCGCCTGCTCGGCTCGGTTCGGTTCGGTGTCAAAGTTTTGCTCTCGCCTTATATTTTTAATCCCTATTCTTATGGGAACTTTGACCACCTTGTCCGCACTCTACACACGTTATTTGAACGTGCAACATCGATCCCTCTTCTTCTCCTATTCTGTAGCTCTTCTGGATGGCTGAAAAGGAAGAGGCAGTTATAGCTATCAGTATATAACTTGTCTCTTCCAACTCCATTAAACATACCTGAATAGAGGACTTACGCCTGAGCTGTGTAAGCAGATTTTTCATCTCTGTGTATCTGTGTTCCTTGTCGAAAACAAGTGATTCCCTTGTCGCAAATGTTTTTAAGGGAGTGTTTGTAATAACACGACGCAGATACATTCTACTATCTAAACCATTCGTCCAGCTATATAAAATACAGAATACTGTCTGTGACATTCCAGCCTCATAGCACAACAGAGTTGTGCAGCACATCCAGCACTGGAGTTGGATCTTCATTGCCTACAATTCTTGTATGTTTAGTTGTTTACAGTTTCCATGAATTTATTTTTCTTTTATGAATTCTTATTCTGAATTTGTGATTACTTATTTGATTTCATGATAAATTTATGCCTCTGTATCAGTGTATCATGTATGTCTATCAAATTATCAATGATTCAAATCAATGTCCCTCATGAGGATGGGAAGTGGGAATTGGAACTGGAAAGTTCTCATGGCTAGGTGACATTTTAAATGTTGCTGCCATTGAGCTCAGGTATCAGTATAAGTATTGACTAAATGTGACTTGTGACTTCTGACTTCTGACTCACTATACTTATAACTGTATAAATATTCATTATTGTGCAATGATGATGCTTCCACCATGTTCTCTGAATATATAGAATTGGGTTTGATATGTTGCCTGTGAAGTGTGGTGTTTATGCCATACTCATTGAGTAGTGTTCCCCCAATCCTAAATTGATATGGAAAAAAAGTTATCTGAGCACTCTTTGAGTATTTGCTATTTAAATATAATCCATTAATTGTTCCAGTATAAGTATTATTGTGAAATGATGATGCTTCCACCTTCTCTGAATATATAGAATTGGGTTTGGTATGTTGCCTATGAAGTGTGGTGTTTATGCCATACTCATTGAGTAGTGTGCCCACAATCCTAACTTGATATGGAAAAAAAGCTATCTGAGCACTCTATTAGTCTTTTACAGTTTGTGTCAATCCATTGTTCCAATATTGAATGGCAGTAAGTTATGAAATGTTTTGAACTTATTCTGTTTTTATGTCTTCACTTATCAGGAAGAAGAATAGAATAATAGAGACATAGAGTACTCTATATTATATAAATCATATATTCATATATTACTTTTGGAGTTTTGGATTTCTGGTTTTCTTTCGCTCAATAGTTGAAACATGAAAGCTGAATGCTGATGTGCTGATTGGAGAATGATGCTGCTGCATGCTTGCCTGCTTGGAGATTGGAGAATGATGTTGATTGCTGAATTGTTGTCTTGTTGATTGTTATATTATATGTTTAAAGTTTTATAAGTTTATTTATGTTATTTTTGCTGTTAAGTAGTTACTAATTACTAGTTAGGGGCTTATAGTACTTAAGTAGTTAATTAGTTAAGTGTTCCATGAATTGATTATTTGATTTGTACATTGTCATAAAACCGAAATACCAACCGGATATCCGACCGATCCGATCATACCCGAACATACAAATAACCGAACAGATAAGTCAACAAAATAAAACGGATAGGGTAGTCAAAATTGATATTCGAAATCCGATCGGAGGACAAGTTCCGCCATCCGAACCGTCCGACCCGTCCGACTGCACACCCCTAATGATTCTTTGTGTGGAACCTTGATGTGATGGTTGAGTTGGTATAAGTGGACAGTGTGGAAGTTTTTACAGATTCGAGATAATGGTATTGCGGATAACCTGAGGGGTGTATTCCGGGTTGTTAGGACTATTTTTACTTATTGGGAACTGGAGAACCCAATAGGGGTGTATACACTTAAGGAATTAGTACTGTCTTTATCGGGTCCTTGTGACCCCGCGGAACCATAATCGGGTCTGAGTGACCCCGCGGAATTTATGAATCAGGTTTGTTACCCTGCGAAAAAATGATCTAACTGACTGCACTAGAGCCTCCCACACTGATCCACTATGGTTACAAGTCATTGCGATGACTCCGCGGTGAATGACTTGGTTTGGCTATGTCCTTTAAGGATTTGGAACCCTGTCAATGATTTATATACTGTAGATTCATAAAGTCTATATTTTAGATTCATAATTTAAATACAGTAGATTCATAATTTCTATATAATAGATTCATAATTCCTATACTGCATATTCATAATATCTGTACTGTAGATTCATAATTTTTAAACTGTATAGTTATCAAATTATAAGGTGGGCTGTGGGCACGATTCCACAGCAGATGAAATGGGCCCTCAAACTGATTAGGCCCAATTCATTTGGGTTTAGATTTAACTTTTTATCAATTTGGCCCAAATCGTATATAATATTAATCATGTATAGTTATCAAATTATAAGATGGGCTGTGGGCACGATTCCACAGCAGATGAAATGGGCCCTCAAACTAATTAGGCCCAATTCATTTGGGTTTAGATTTAACTTTTTATCAATTTAGCCCAAATCGTATATAATATTAATCATTATTACATCCATCATGGTCTATACAATTGTGTGAACCATAAATAAAAAGTACATTTTTAATATACTAAGGGTACATTATTTATGTATGTAAGGTACATTTTTAATATATTAAGGGTACATTATTTTATATAATGTACCTTCAATTCAAAAACAATGTACCTTCAGTATAAAAATATTATACTTTTAATATATTAAAAATGTACCTGATATTCATGGTTCACATAATTATGTGGACCATGGTCCACACAATAATTTACCGTATAATATCAATTGTTATATCGTGGACTAGGGTCCTTAATGCACTGTGGACCCTGGTTCAATACACAGAATTTGACTTCATAAGGTACAAAATTTATGTTTATAATACACAAGATTCATGTTAATAATACACATACACATAAATACGATATAATTTGTAGATACACTAAGATTGATTTACTTGTATTTTGTACCTAAAATACTAATGAAATCCTCCTTAACTTGGACATTAAAGAAAAGAGTGAACTAAATATTTGTCGAAACACTATAAAAATATCTCTCCCTACCATTTTATTTTACGCGTCTTATATTTCCAACTGATTGAATTATAAACGCACACACAATCACATCTTTCAAACTATTTTCTCTCAAACCGCGATACAAATTATTTTAAGACTTTCGCTGCCTATCAGTTCCAATATGAGCTAGCTTGGTGATAAGCTTTGATTTATTAAAAACAAAAAAAAAATAATAATAATAATAATAAATTAAACAAACTTTTGAAAAATTCTATTTAACCCCTCTCCCACCTTCCTCTCTCTAGATTCTACCAACCCGGAACCAACAATTAGTATTAGAGTCAAAGTCACGAGGTTAAACATGGTTAACTTACATGATAGTAATAAACTATTGGGACGTAAGCACGCAATCCAATGATATAAGAGTATAGAATAAATACTTTGGATTATATTATAACGTTATTCATCAAATTAATTCATTCATTCCTTACTCTCATCCAAAGCATAAGCATATTTTCCATGAATATATAATATCATAAACTACACATAAAGTCTTTATTGATATGAATATGTAATCCATCCAGTAGGACTGTAGGAGTACGTTATTAAAGCCACTAAATAAGGAGTACGTATAGTAGTATTTCAAGCTAAGCCTTTTGGAATACTATCTTCAATGGCGGACGGTTGAAAGCCAAACGCCTTGCGCCGTCGACCATCTCCACACCAATGTATCCACACTGAAGCCTGGGGCACACGACCGAGCAACCTGCGGCTCTCGGACAGAACTGAAACGCGTACCCATCCTCGTACTTCACGATCGTGAATAAGCTTGCCCCGCTTCCCTTCCCATCTCCCCCCGTCGTCACGAAAAGATTTTGGACCAACCACACCCTCGACTGGGGGCACCCCGACGCGAGATTCGACGCCACAAATTCCACTGTCACGTCGGCGTTCTCTTGGACCGCACCGCCGGTGGAATTCACGGGCGAAATCCGGAGTGGGAGTCCCATGTCGCCGGCGGCGAGTGCCTGGACGACCTGAAAAGGGCAGGTGTTGTTTTCGCCCTTGGCTGGCTTGAGGCCGCTCCCTGCAGATACGACGTAGTAGTTGACGCCGGAGTGGAGAGCCTGGCCGCCGGTGTCGAGCACCGGGTCGGCGGCGACGGAAAAGTTGAAGATGCATATGCAAGCAAATGCGAAGAGAAGAAGGCAGGAGGGTAAAATGGGGTTTTTTGATGTCTTCATTTTCTGCATTTTGCTCTTTGCTTTGTAGATTGATACTGTATTTATAGAGCTGATGGATATATGTGTGAACATATATGGTAACATACACACGAGTACATGGCTTATTTCAGTTCCCAACTTTGATTAATTTTACATTTTCTCAACTTTAAATTTTATTTCATTTTAAAATATCATAAAATATAAGTGGTTTTTCAAGTAAGAACATTTTTAATATTTTGAACTAAAGGATTTATTGGAAATCTAAAAATAGTTATCCAAAAATATAGTCAATAAAAAATAATTATACTAGTCAAAGAAAAATTATATTAAAAATGTTTATTTTGACATAAAATATCTTCATAAATTTTACTTGAAAGATATCTCTTTTCTCTCCCTCTCTCATTATTGGCCCTCTTAATCTATCTTCCTTGGCCTACCTCATCCTTCATGGCAAATTCGTCCACACAATTGTGTGAACCATAAATATCAGGTACATTTTTAATATATTAAAAGTACATTGTTTTTGTACTGAAAATACATTATATAAAATAATGTATCGTTAATATATTAAAAATGTACTTTCAAAAATGTACCTTTATGTACATAAATAATGTACCCTTAGTATATTAAAAATTTATTTTTTATTTATGGTTCACACAATTGTGTGAACCATGGTCTATGTATGTAATAATGATTGATCCTTCATGGCAATTTATTCGTCCACACAGCACCATAATAAAAAATACATTTTTAATATATTAAAAGTACATTATTCGTGTACTGAATGTACATTATTTAATAGTATGATCCAGGGCCGTATTTTAAGTTTTTGTGGCCCTGTTCTAGTAAATAAATGTGGCCCTACAAAATTACAATTTTGAAAACCAATACATGTAAGTTTCGAACCTTTGACCTACAAGTTAAAATACAATAAATACATATTCTCACCACCTCTTCATAAAACCTTTTATATTCAATTGAAAACTTTTAATTTTTATTTCGAAACTAACTGTGTAAAAATTAAATATTAAACCTCTAAAATTTGGGGCCCCTCTAAAATTGGGGGCCCTGTGCGGTAGCCCAGCTTGCACAGCCTAAAATCCGGCCCTGGTATGATACACATAGTTGCAATGATTTATCCTTGCCGATGATCAAGTCCAAGGATGTGATATTCATATTCTTATTCATTTTTATCTTCAAATCTAGATTTTCTTGTTTTTACGTATTTGTTAGATTTTTTAACTTCAGTTTTTTTGTTCGAATTTTCGGAAAGGCAAAAGCCAATATTTTGGTTGTTGCCTTCATGAAGGTAGAAATCAAAATTGGATAATAACCTAAATTAGTTTATTTTGTTATGCTAATCTTGTTTTGTTTTGGTTTGGTTTCTAGATTTTTTCCGGAACATGAACTAAATAGAAAAAATAATTTTCTAAAACCAAATAAAAAAAGAAATTAAAAGCAAAAACAAAAAATTAACTTTCAACCAAACATTAGAAAATAATTTTTCAAAAAAAGGTGTCATTTTGATTTGCATAAAATATTGTCTAGATTTCCAAACAAACTCTATGGGATGATTGGTTCATTGAATATTTTGAGGTAATTAACATTCAATCGTTATGTTGTGGAACCGTGTTCACCATTCATGGTGAATATGGTCTCAAACAGTAATGGTGTCTGTAAGTGGCACCATTATCTTCCACCAATCTTCTTTAAAAAAAAAAAAAAAATTAATAGCGCGACTTTTCTTCTTCATTTTCACATTTTGCGGTTTCACTTCCTCTTCGCGCAAACTTCTTCAACACTCATAAATTATGAATGTGCAGGCATGAATTTATGAATGTGCAGTTATGAAATTATGAATTTTCTTTTATGAGATTATGAATTTTCTGTTATGAAATTATGAATTTACAGAAAATTCATAATTACATAACTGTAAATTCATAATCTCATAACAAAAAATTCATAATTTAATAAATATTTTTCTTTTATGAGATTATGAATTTACAGAAAATTTATAATTACATAACTGTAAATTCATAATCTCATAACAGAAAATTCATAATTTAATAAATGTAAATTTATAATCTGAACATAGGATGCAAAACGTCGTTAACAACACATTAACTAATTTTATTTTATTTTTTTCCGTAAAAATGACGCCGTTTTGAAACGTGTTCACAAAACATGGTGAACACATTTTCACGGCATAATTTGCGATTAATATTCCCGACCCAAATCTCACATAACCTAAGAATGTGAGAGGATTGTGATACCATGAAAGCTACCAAATTAAAAATGAACTAAAAGCAAATTAAAATTTGTGAAGCGCGTATCCAATGTTGTAATATTATTCTCACATCCTCTTGAACCAAACAAGAAAATCTAGTATTACCATTTTCACATTTCTAAGGTTATTATGTGTGATAACCTAAACCAAACACCTCCTAAAGTTGTAATTGAAGACGTACTAAAAATGAGATAAAAGCTAATGGTTGTCTTTGTCTATCCAGATATGAAGAGAAGACAACTATGGTTAGATAAAATAGTCACGGTTGTCATCTTTAGTTTGACTGACAACTCGTTGTTCTTAAAAAATTCAAAATTAACTCGTATAGACAGCTCAACTGGTCATAGGGGTAAAGTTTGAGAGGCAGTGTCGGAGCAACCTCTCAAAGTGAAGGGCTCCTTGTGTACAGTAAGCAAAGGCCTAGTCTACGCATTAGAACACCACGTTTTAGCTTAATTAATCGGTCTTACATGAACGGTAATCTATAAATAAGATTGAAATCTAATTTCACTATTATATTCTAGCAATTTAAGATACCTCAACCAGAGAATTTATTTTTTACATTATTCACTAAATTTAAAAGACTAATTTTAGACTTTTTTCTATCTATTTTTCCGTTTTTAAAGATATGGGTGGAAATTGACTTTTAAAAACTAATGATAAAACAGATCTTATTAGTGAGATGTATTCAAAGTTCATGAGTTCAAAGTTCTGACCTAAACCTCATCAGTAATTGCTCAAAAGTCAGAAAATGAGGATTATCTTGAAAATATATGTTCATATTGTTTTACTTCATTTTGGAGAAACGTTGCCAACAAATAAAAAGTCAAAAATTGTTACTTTCGCCTTATTCCCAATCTTTGGCAAGTTGAGTAATCATTAAGTGTGTGTTTGGTTCGCACATGAATTGAAATTAGAGTTGGAATAGAAATTAAATACTTGATGATGGTAATAGTTTTGGTGAAAATATTTTGCATGTTTGATAGTAAGGTGAAATTGAAATGATTACCAATATTAATGTTTGGTCATATATGGTCTTTATCAACTTTTTTTTAAGTGATCAAAAGAAAAATAAATATACTACTAGAAAAAACTCTTTCTAATCAATTGGACAATGTTTGGGTTTCTAGGAAAAAAAAAATCATCTTAAAAATGATTTTTTCAATAGAATTAACCATCTAGACAGAAAAAATAGATGGAGAAATAGAACATGAAAAAGAACGGGAGCAAAACGCAGTGGAGATACTTGGAACAAGAACTCGATTATATGTATAGAAGATGATAAGACTAAACCAGAATACTACTTACCCCAAATGTATGATCCTTTCTTAAACGGGTCATACTGTGGAAAAATAAAAAAAGAGCTTCCGCCCTCCATCATAAAAAATACTTTGATAGCAGATTCGAGAGAGACTGGTGAGCAAAATCGGTTACATGATCTTCTTCTCCCGAATTCCAATTATGAAAATTTTGACCAAAATACAAATACATTAGAAATTGGTGATATTTTAGAAATTGATGCTTTTTCATCTATTGTAATACACAAAATAAGTAAAAAAAAGTCCCTCGATGGTCATACAAATTAATCAGTGAACTGGAACAACTCGAATTTTTAATAAAATCGACGTTAATAAAACATTGAGTTAATGACATCTGAGATCCTCCGAGTATAGTGATTTTGCCACGTTTAGTCCTAAACTTTCAAATTGACCATCTGTGGTCCTTTGACTTTCAAATTTGACCATTCGTGGTCAAAGTTAACCACACATGGTCCTTCAAGTTTTGAAATTTAACCAGTCGTGATCCTCTTGAAAGGACCATGGTTGGTTAAAATTTAATAATTGAATGACCATGAGTGGTTAACTTGAATCACGAATAGTTAAATTTAAAAGTCGAAAGACCACATATAATTAATTTGAAAATTTAAGGCTAATTAAACGTGACAAAATCACTATACTCGGAGGACCTTGGATGATATTAACTGTTAAAACATTTTTTAAAATTATATACGAAGGATAATTTTATCAAGATTATATCCTAGTAGGCACGCCGTTTAGGAGGAAATCTAAAAGCGCCCACCATGGGGCTCGAACCCACGACCATAAGGTTAAGAGCCTTGTGCTCTACCAACTGAGCTAGACGGGCCTATTGAATATTATTATTTTTTTTCCATATTATTCATGTCTAAGTGCCGACGTTAGGGTGAGGAAAAGTATAATCGATGATGGAAATGGGAATTGAACGCGACGTGAATCGAACACGCAACCTTCTGATCTGGAGTCAGACGCGCTACCATTGCGCCACGGATCCACTTTGTTTTGAAGTGAAACTTATACGTAGTATCATTTTTACCACGTTTTTTTTTTTTTTTTTTTTTTTTTTTTTTTTTTTTTTTTTGTTTTTTGTTTTTGTTTTAAATTTAGAATTAATCCCTCTTTTAGTTGCATACTTGCATGAATGACATATTCATTTTAAATAATTAACAAACAAATTAAATATGAATTAATAATTGATAACTAAATGTAAAAGGCAAAGACTTGTGTAAGACCATTTCACGGGTCTCAATCCATGAGACGAGTCGGATATTGGATTAATGATGATGTCAAAGATCCGACTCATTAATCAAAGATTTGACCAATTAATCAAATATTCAACCCGTCTCACCTCAATCCGTGAGACGGTCTCACACAAGTGTTACCCAATGTAAAAATACTATGGTAATCAATCATCACTCATATGATTAAAAGTAAAATTTAATTTTCAAG